CCTAAAAATCGCTGGAGGGCAACACGAGAATTAGGAACGGGCCAATCGAGGACTGCCCGCACCTTCTCGGGATCCATGCTGATTCCCTCAGCAGAGACCACCGAACCAAGGAAGGTGACAGACTGAGAATGAAACACACATTTCTCAGACTTAGCGAAGAGACGGTTCTCAAGTAGACGTTGCAAAACCCGACGAACGTGTTGAACGTGTACTTCGAGTGAGGGTGAGAAAATGAGGATGTCGTCCAGATAAACGAAAACAAAGACATTTAACATGTCACGCAAAACGTCGTTGACCAACGCCTGAAAAACAGCGGGAGCGTTGACCAGCCCGAAAGGAAGAACGCGATACTCAAAGTGACCTATAGGGGTGTTAAACGCGGTCTTCCATTCGTCTCCCTGCTTTATACGAACAAGATGGTAAGCATTTCGCAAATCCAATTTAGTAAAGATCTTTGCGCCCTGCAAGATCTCGAAAGCTGACGACATAAGGGGCAAGGGATAGCGGTTCTTGACCGTTATGTCGTTCAACCCTCGATAATCAATGCAAGGACGCAAAGATCCATCCTTCTTCTTAACAAAGAAGAAACCAGCACCAGCTGGCGAGGAGGACGGAACAATAATTCCAGCGTCAAGGGATTCAGAGAGATACTTCTCTAAAGCCTCTCGTTCAGGCGCCGAGAGAGAATACAATCTACCGCGAGGCGGCGTGGTGCCAGGAAGGAGATCGATGCAACAATCGTAGGGGCGGTGAGGCGGTAGAGAAACGGCCCGGGAACGACTGAAAACCGCCCGCAAATCGTGGTACTCCTCCGGGACCCCAGACAGATCACCAGGTTCCTCCTGAAAAACAGACACAGAAGAAACCACAGGAATAGCAGACACTAAACAATTAACATGACATGAAAGACTCCAAGACAAAATGGTACTCTTGACCCAGTCAATATGAGGGCTATGCTGGACTAGCCAGGGATGTCCTAACACAATGGGGGTATAGGGGGACTGAAAAATGAGAAAAGAAATAGTCTCTTGATGGTTTCCTGAGACGGTGAGACTCACCGGACTGGTGACACGGCGAACATTAGAGAGAATACTACCATCCAGGGCAAAGACGGTGGTGTTCCCCTTTAAGTCCACCAGGGGGATGTTATTTTCCCGGGCCCATCTCTCATCAATAAAGTTCCCCTCAGCCCCTGAGTCGATCAACGCGGGACATGAAACGGTGGAACCGGCCCAACGAAGGACGGCGGGCAGGGTGGTACAGGATCTGGATGAAGAGGACAAAACAGTCGCGCTCGCCAGTACTCCTCTGTCTACTGGCGAGCTCTGGCTTTTACTGGACACGAAGCTGCGAAGTGGCCAGCCGAGCCGCAATAAAGACACAGTCTGTTGGAGATGCGACGTTGTTTCTCCTCTGGCAGAAGACGAATGGCACCCAACTGCATGGGCTCTGGATCAGGTCTAGCAGAGACAGGAAAAGGAGGTTCGCGAGGAGTGGAGGAAGCTGCACGGGCACGTCGCCGTTGCTCAAAGCATCTATCGAGGCGAATCGCCAGCTCTATCAGTTGGTCAAGCTGGGCCGGAGAACCGCAAGCATAAATCTCCTCCTTTAAATCCACATTCAAACCCTCCAGGAAGCGCGCGACCAGAGCAGGTTCATTCCATTCAGCTGTGGTGGAAAGGGTGTGGAATTCAATCGCGAAATCAGCCACTGTTCTCCTCCCCTGGCGAATCGTGGTGAGAAGACGCGAAGCCTCGCGTCCGAAAACTGACTGGTCGAAAACTTTAATCATCTCGTCCTTAAAGAGATCAAAACAGTGACAGCAGGAAGTCCCAGCCTCCCAAACGGAGGTTCCCCACTCACGAGCGCGTCCAGTCAATAACGAAATCACATAGGCGATGCGGGCACGATCCTCCGCATAAGTCTGTGGTTGCAGGGAAAAAGCTACCTCACACTGAGTCAAAAAGGCTCTACATTCCGTAGGCTCACCTGCATAACATGGAGGATTGTTCACACGAGGTTCGGGAAGAGAAGGACGACTCTGAACAACCGGTGATTCCTGGTGAGCATGAAGGAGGCGTGCAGACAAATCATTAACCTGTGCGGCCAAACATTCCACCGCATTTCTGGCAGCAGATAATTCCTCCTCGTGACGACCCAGCATAGCTCCTTGGATCTCTACAGCAGAAAAAAAAGATTCCTCCTTTGCTGGATCCATCGTGGTCGGATTATTCTGTCAGGGTTGATACAAAAGGATCCAAAAGCAAAGGAAGTTCAATGCAAAGTCTTTAATGTCCAACAAAAACAGCTTTAAGAATATCAGCTCAGAACTAGAACAGAAAAAGGTGCTCTCCAGAAAGACAGCTTCTCAGTGGATACTTTGTCGGGAGAGATTATGAAAAACAGAAAATACTCTCAGAGTAAATGGTCCTTGAAGCTGGCAGCAGAGCAGAGAGAACAACGGATGAATCTCACCGAAGCAGGTCACAGGAGACAGGAGACAACAAGGCGAATACTGCTACACAAGACAAGACATAGGTAAGACTCCTTTAAACTGACAAAATGAGAGAACGTACTCACACAATAATCCGACACAGAACAGAGAGAACAAACACTAGAAGTAGACTGAGTAATTAGACAAGACAAGACACAGGTGTGAGCGGACAGCAGCGAGAGCGCTGATACTGATGATCAACAGGTGAAGGCAGAGCGCAAACATGACAGTATGTGTGTGCGCTGGAGAGTGAGAGAAATGGGTGTGTAAATGAGTGTGTGTGGTGGTATGAGAGTGAGAAAGAGCAGATAAGTAACCCAGATCCTGACAGGTGCTTGTTACCCAATTGTTCCATGTAGTTACAGGGCAAGTACAATCAAAATGCATACACAATCTTATATCACTGACTCAGAAACCTTTATTTATTATACAAGCACCACTTACCCTGTAACCACATGAAACAAGATATATTTCCCAGTATTTAAAAAAAATTGCAATAGTCTTAGCTTTTGCCTTGAAACATGTTAGCCCAAACTTAAACACCTGCACTTTTGCTACAAAAAAAAAAAAAAAAAGAGTATAAATGCACAGATATGTACCCTGTAATTGTAAAAAAGCCTATACAGTGTATTGGTACATAATTATTACAAAAAGGTACGCAGTGTATGTTCTCGCTAAATTGCTCCCAAATGTAAGATTGTTGTATCATAATAGTAGAATAAGTACCCCTTAGTTCTATCATACTTAAAGTATAAATATTTTTTTAATTCTCCTGGTTGTTACCCCTTTATTCCCCAAACTTTAAATATTGTTCCCTTATACTTACATGTAAGTACTTTATAGGTACACTATAATTACTGAAAGTTACTCTGTAAATTCCTCTTAATTACACAGTACTTTCCGGGCTGTAATCTAAAGCGTTACCGAGTTTTTCTTTTTCCGGAGATGTAGATAGCAGAGTGATGTAATTCATGATTATTAGGCTGCCGGTATAATATAGAGTAATAATAAATAAGTAAATAAATAAATGGAAAGGAACAGGGCTGCGAGCCAAATCAGTCGCTTTACATGTAGTGGCTGACCACTGACCATGGTAGTGAGAGCGGATGTGAGTCTGGCTCTGAGCCCAGAAACCAATCATCTAGCCGTGAATGCTTAGGAGAGGGCTGAGGATTCCTCTCTGACCTGATGCTCGCGGCAGCCCGGGCAAGAATGTTAGCCTCAGTCTGAGCCACCACACCAGACCCAACAAGTCCAATCAAGTCATCCGGCTCTGAAGACATAAGCCCACCCTCTGATGCTGTGATTGATAACTCATCCTCGTCACGAGTCCTGAATGAGAAATTAAACTCATCCACAAAAGAACAAGTACCACAACGTCCCCATGGCCATACTCTCACAACGCTGCCTCACGGCCCAAACAGTTGATGCACAGATCTTGGCCTTCCGAGGGAGAAAGACGTCGGCCACATTCAGAAATACATGGGTGGAAATCTTTAAAAAGATGCTGTTCGCTCTTTTAGAGTATTTTGCTCCTTTAGATCACAGTCGGAGCATCCAGGGGAACTTCCCTGCACTTATCTGTGCATAAGTGGGGAGACTGGCTCCGAAGAACAAATCTGAAAGAAGTGGCATGTAAATTCCACTCACCAATTCTCATTGACCTTTTCTGAAATAATCAGAGGTGTTAAGGGCTCCCAAGTGTGACTCTTATCACATCGACACAATGTGAGTGAGCTTGTTTCCGCCACAGAACAAAAAATTATAAAGGTAATTGCGACTTTTTATCTCACAATTCCGATTTTTTTTACACAATTGCGATTTACATCCAGCATCTTACATCTTGCGTGATATAAAGTCGCAATTGCGAGTTATAAAGTCAGAATTGCGAGTATCACGCAATTCTGACTTTTTTTCTCAGAATTGGATGTTTATATCTTGCATTTCTGACTATATAACATGCAATTGGGAGATATAGTCAGAATTGCATGATATAACGTCACAATTGTGTGTTATAAAGTCAGAATAAAGTCTTTTTTCCTTAGAATTGGACTTTATAACTTGCAATTGCGAGTTTATATCTCAAATTTCTGAGAAAAGATGTTAGAATTTCGAGATATAAACTTACAATTGTGTGTTATAAAGTCAGAATTGCAAGTTTATTTCTCGCAATTGTGAGTATATATATCTTGCAATTGCGAGTTTATATCTCGCAATTCTAACTTTATAACACGCAATTGTGAGTTTGTATCTCACAATTCTAAGAAATAAAATCAGAATTGCAAGATGTAAACTTGCAATTGTGAGATAAAAAGTTGCAATTATCTTTTAAAAAGTTTTATTGTGTGGCAAAAACAAGCTTCCATACAAATGATTGGCCTTACTGCTATGGGCTAGAGGATGTGAAGTGAAGTACTTTTGAACTTCATATTGAACAATATTATATTTTATTTGTTGTGGTGTGATGTGAACTGGAACTGAGAGGCTCTTAGACATTATTGCTCAACACAGCATGACCAAACACTCTTGCTGTCAGTGTGGAGCAAAGGTGAAAAAAAATTGTTTTGCAATGATACTCAAAGCCACAAAGAGATGAGACAAGCAGATTTAATGTAAATTCGGAACAATACCAGAGCAGAAAACGGAGCCACGGAGCTTGCTTTAAGGTATGTGATTATTTGTATTGTGTTAAGGTTTGTATAGCTAGTGAAGTCAAGAAAGCTAATAAGATCTATCCTTATTATGTGTTTAGGTTTACAAAAGAGTTTTAGCTTTACAATAGATATAATATATTTTAATATAATACAATAATATAATATATTGTATGGACAGAATGAACAGAAACTAGATGTACTGTTCACAGTTGCAGTGTCCTCTTGTCCTATGTGTATTATTTAGACAGTGCTACAGTATGTGTGTCCCTGTTTCTTACTTGGGTAAGACATTGTTTGTCTTTGATCATCTACTGTAAAGATATGATATTAATGGTATTTATTTACTTATGGTATATTTTCTGTAATTTTGAAGGTTACTGGAGCTATACAGTTGATTCCAATGGACAATGCCAAGAAATCTCTTGATGTGTTCTCAACCTCCCTGTCAAAGTAACAGTGTTTGTATTATGATTGTCCTTTTTAAATGCAATGTTTTGTTCTATGAATTCATAATTAGAATTAGCATCTTTATATTTGTTTGTGCAAAACTGGGAACTGAGTTTTCAAGCAAGCCATTTTGTGACTAAGTGTGTGTGTGTGTGTGTGTGTGTGTGTGTGTGTCACTGTCCACAGATGCATATCAATCTGTGGTTCTATGACCCAGCAGCTCTTACCACGTTGGACTCAACACGCCAGACCCTTCCGGGTCATCGACTCTGATCGCTCCATTAAGAAAGGCATCATGGCAAGTCACCTGAGAGACCTACGGAATAAGGTGAGGACACCAATTAAAAGGATCGGAGAAACAAAAAGAATCAGAAATAATTATTTGTTTCTTTATGAAATCTTTATCTTTGAATAAATATCTTAAAGACTAGAAAAGTGTGCTTGCCTATTCTGTCTGCATGATCATTTATGTCAGAATAAGCATTGAGTCTTATTTAGTTTATTAATCTTGGTTAAAACAGATTGGCTGTATGTCTTAAATCTGAGACCCCTACATCTTTGCTACCTCTCAATCGCAAAATGTTCATCGATACATTCAAGATGCATACTAACATATTCTAATATCTCCTTCAAATAACAAATAGGAAATTCAGTCCAATAAGTTTGCATATTTTTCATGTCTGAAATATTCTAAAACAATACTACATGGTCCTGTATGACACTCAAAATGTCCATAAAATTGTAAACTAGTGATTGAATAATTTCTAACAGTGAAGGTGTTTTTTGTTAGATACATGTGTAGATCAGGAGATGCTCTTTCAAAATATTTCAAGCAAAGTATTTTAGTCTTATCCTTAATCATTCATTTTCCAGTATTGTTAGCTACCTCAGTCTCTGAAAACCACAGCAACAGAAGAAGGTAGAATGAGGAGATTGAAATAAAGTGAAATATGAATAAATATTTGTAATTCACACTATTACAGTGGAGACAAATGTCTAAGTATATCAAATTTAACTACACTATATAATATAATGTTTCCATTAGAACTCTTTCTTACTTTGGCTTATACCATTGTAGTGGTCAAATTGAAGTAATATATGTGATCATTCAAATATTGGGTATTTAGTGACATGTAGATCCAGCTCTAGAATGGAAGCACTGCATGAAATTCCAACACAGTTGCTCCAAAGCTCTTTCAATGAAGGCATGATTTTTTCCTTCTAGGTTATGGATGCATTTCACATGCATTGTGTCAGTGCTTTAGTGTTGGATGAGGATGGAACTGGAGTGGATACTGAGGACTTTTTCCAGACCTTAAAGGACAACACTGACCTCATGGTCTTAGGGAAAGGACAAAAGTGGGCCCCACAGCAGGTCAGTGTTTTAAACTGAGGTTCTGGATTAACAGCACACATCAATATTTGTTGATATTGACTGTAACATTTTAAATTAATTAAATGAATTCTGTGAATATATATAAACAGTTTGTTCTGGTTCTCAAATCTAATTGGCTGAGAGCCTTTTCCAAGCATACGATATTCTACTGATACCATTCGGAAACAGCTTCACTATTTGTAACGAGTGTGCTCGTTGTACCACAGCGTTGGACTATTTTCTTTAATCTTCTTTAAGCGCAAAGAAGCAACTGTGTCTAAAGTGTGCGAAAAGAGAGAGTCAAAAGTTTCTGTCGCAATATCGAGTGCTTCTAAGCTATCTGGAATGCTGAGGAGATGAAACTGATCAGGAATATCATTAATAAAGCAATCTTTAGTGGAAGAAGTGATAGTTCTAACATATTTGTAACACGAAGTCGGCTTAGCAACCTTGGCTAAATGGAGTATACATGAGACTAGATAATGATCTGAGATGTTATCACTCTGCTGTAGAATTTCAACGGCATTAACATTGATTCCATGTGACAATATCAGATCTAAAGTATGATTATGACAATGAGTGGGTCCTGACACGTGTTGTCTAACTCCAATAGAGTTCAGAATGTCTCTAAATGCCAATCCCAATGTTTTTTGTTTTTTTTTGTTATGTACATGTAGATTAAAATCACCAACAATTAGGACTTTATCTGCAGCCAGTACTAACTCTGATAAAAAAATCAGGAAATTATTTGATTATTAGTGGTGCTTGCCAAAGGCAAGGCAACACTAGTGTTCTCTTGCATACTTTTGGACAAAAGTTTGGCGCGCTACTCCCGCAGCTTTTGTCACAGACCCACGAATGAGGCGTGAAATCTTGCGGATTATTGGGAATGGTGTGCTATGACTTTTATAAGCGGTAGGGGGTACGATATTTGCCCCAGGGACTTAACATTGTGACAAACTTTGACCGCTCGTAGCTCAGAGCGAGGATTTCGCAGACTTCCATTGAAAGAAATCAAAGGGATATCTCCAGATAGAAGTGTCATAAAAACACGAGGGTGGTCTCGTTTGACTCGGGGTAGCAAACAGCCAATCATGAAACACCTCAACAATTTCAGGCCATGCCCTGGCAACCATTATCGAGCACCTTAGCAACCAAAATCCAAAGAGGGATATCTTCCATTCTGAATGTCACAGAGGCATGGGAGTTGGTTTATATCATTCATAGTGACAAGAAGCCTTTGGAGTTTCATCACTGGCAGCTGCCGAGCTACTCCATAGCAACCAAACAGAGTACCCTAGCAACCATTTAGCAAGACTTATATCTCTGCATCAGAACATCGTGTAGAGATGGGGGTTGGCTCTTTTGACTCATGCTAGCAAACTCATGCTTCCAACATGCTACAAATGCTAGCTTAAATCATGCCAAGAAAATGCTAAGAACTCCATTAGTAACCATATGTAACAACTACTAACCACCTAGTGACACCATAGCAACTGCCCAGAATACCTTAGCAACCACCCTGAACACCCTAGCAACCACCTAGAAAAGCTAATCGTGTTAGTATCTAGCTAGAAATATGCTAGCAACATGTTAACCATACTAGCATCTAGCTAAAAACATGCTAACAACATGCTTATCATGCTAGCATCATGCTAGCAACATGCTAATCATTCTAGCATCATGCAATCAACATGCTAATCATGTTAGCATCTAACTACAAACATGCTAGCACCATGCCGTATTATCACTCGTAGCCCCTCTATTCATCACATCCTATCTTACAACAGCTCCATTGGCTCTCCATCATTTACCGTACCAACTATAAAATACTTCACACTTTTAAAGTCATTCTCTTGCCCCTTCATATCTTTTTGACCTCCTCCATATACCCACACCCGCTCGCACTCTTAGATCCTCTTCTTCCATCCATTTGACTGTTTACCGTGTACGCCTTGTACCTATGTGGAGCAGAGCTTTCAGCTGCTCTGCTCCTCAGCTCTGGAACTCGCTTCCACCGGCTCTCTGTAATATTGTTTCCCTCTCACATTTTAAATTCAAACTCAAAACCCATCTGTTTAGAATAGCTGAGTTTTGGACCAGTTGAAAGTTTATGGAGGGTTTTATGCGGGAGGCCAAACAAAATGGAATTGCAGTAATCTAAACGAGAAGTGACTAAACTATGAACAAGAATGGCAGTGAATGGCAGTGGAGTGAGGCGTGAGGAAAGGACGCAGACGGTTGATGTTTCTAAGATGTTAAGCAGACCGGGTAACATTATTAAATGAGACGTAAAAGATAGGGTACTATCGAAGATGACACCCAGACTTCTCAGTAATTCTGAAGATATTACTAATTACAACAATACCACCCCCTTTTCCTTTCAGACGTGGCTCATTTTTATAACAGTAATCTTGGGGGGTGGACTCATTTAAAGTAATGTAATCATCTGGTTTTAGCCAGGTTTCTGTCAAACACAGCACATCTAGGTTATAATCTGTAATCATATCATTAACAATAAGTGCCTTTGAAGTAAGGGATGGAATATTCAGCAACCCGAGATTTATAATTTGTTAATCTGTGTTATATTTTTTATTTGTTGAACATCAATTCAATTTTTACTCTTATGGGTTTGGGAGTTTTTTTGTAGTTCCTAATTCGGGGAACAGTCTCTATATGATGATATCTAGGTGAAAGAGGCTCTATGTGATGGGATTTATCTGACCTCAGTGACGTAAGACAGCTAGCAAACAATTATTGTCATTTGAGACATGTATTTCATCAGAATTATTGCACTTTCACCTACAAGCACAAATCAAGAGAATGTCAACCCATACACATGGCTTATTTTACCTCAACTTGTTTCCTGATTTATTATAGTCTATTTATCAGGCCAACTGGTAAAACAAGAAACTTCTCTCAAAAATTAAAACAGTGAAATTCCTAGTAATCCAATAAATCCAAATTACTTTAAGGTTTATATTAAAACAACAGCAAAAAAGACTTCTTGTCATACAGAGCTGCGTAAGCGCAGGTATTCAGCAACCACAATCACAATCAATAGGCTTTAGTCAAGATCCATGTTTGGATTTATTGCAGCTCATCACTTAGAAAGTTTTATCGCAGATTTAGTCGCAGCAAACCGCGCAAGCGGCTCGTACAGAACACAGGCAGACTGAATGACACTTTCATTAAAGCTGCAGTCCGTAGCTTCTTTTGGGTTAAAAATTATCCAAAATACATATTTGAGAAAATACATAACCAGCCAGTGTTCAAAACTCTCTGCTTGCCTTAGCTCGATTCAAAACGTTAAGCTTGTAATAATGTTTTAATTCCAGTGGTACTGGTGGATTTCCGCGGGAGATTCGTCTTTGCGTCATTACGTCACATCTGTACACATAAAGAAGGTTTTTCGGCTAGTAGGCTATTGTCAGGGTTCACAGAGGAAACAGACTGGATGGTAAGTTATTGTCGTTTATTTGTGCAGATGGATACTCAGTCGGAGATAACAGGTAAGGATCAAATGATATGGAAACATAGAACAGGCTTAGCTGAATGGTAATGTCCCTTTCTCTCTTGCAGGTGGTTTGGAAGCAGTCACACTGGAGATGGATGATACGGAAGGATCAGGAAACTGGTAAGTAGCAGGTGAGTGGAAGGAGAGTCTGTGAGTCATGTAACGACAAGACCAGACAAGTGACTGCAGTGAAGGTGAGGGCTTTATAGTGCATGTGGGTGATGGGACACAGGTGACGGTGATCAGTAATCAGGTGATTGTGAACGGGGGAGTGTCCGACTGGGTGATTGGTAATGAGTGGGTGGTGATGGCGATCGTGACGTGGATGGAATCCTGACAGTACCCCCCCCCCCTCCAGAGGCGGCTCTTGACGCCTGAGAGGAGCGCTGCCGGCGGCGAGGTCTACCATTACCCCTGGGAGCGGGACGATCCGGATGATCATTGTGGAATTGGACGAGAAGGGCAGGGTCCGAGATGTCGTCACGCAAGACCCAAGATCGTTCCTCTGGCCCGTAGTCCTCCCAATCGACCAGCTACTCCAGCCTAGGACCTCGCCGCCGGGAATCCAGAATGGAGCGGACTCTGTAGATTGGATCCTCCTCGACGGGGACGGGAGGAGGAGGTACGTCTGTGGGAGGATTATCTGCGGGAACAGGAGTGACAGGGTCAGTGAAGGGTTTGAGTAAGGACACATGGAAAGAAGGAGAGATTCTGTAATGACGGGGAAGATTGAGCCTGTAGGTGACTTCGTTCAACTGCCTCTGGATGGTGAAAGGTCCAATGAATCGAGGACTCAACTTACGGCAAGGCAGACGGAGACGAATGTCCCGAGTCGACAACCATACCTTCTGACCTGGTTGGTATAAGGGAGTGTCGAGTCGGTGACGGTCAGCTTGCTCCTTGTGTCTCCGAACTGCCTGTTGTAGATGCACGTGAGCTGAGTCCCATACCCCCTCGCTCTGATGGAACCAGAAGTCGACAGCTGGAACCTCAGAGGGCTCACCCGACCAAGGAAAGAGTCGAGGCTGGTATCCAAGGACACACTGGAAGGGGGTGAGCCCGGTGGAGTTCTGTCGCAGGGAGTTTTGAGTGTACTCCGCCCAGGGGAGGTAACGGTTCCAGCTGTCTTGGTACTGGTGGCAGTATGTCCGCAGGTAACGACCAATCTCCTGTATCTTACGCTCAGTCTGGCCATTAGTCTGCGGATGGTAACCTGAAGAAAGGCTGATGGTGATCCCGAGAAGTCTGAAGAAGGCTTGCCACACACGTGAGATGAACTGTGGACCCCGATCTGAGACGATATCTTCAGGGAGACCGAAGTTCCGGAAGACATGTTGGAATAGAGCTTCCGCTGCTTCCAATGCAGTAGGGAGTCCAGGTAAGGGGATCAGCTTACATCCTTTAGAGAATCGATCCACTACCACGAAAACACAGGTGAAGCCTTCAGAATTGGGTAGGTCGGTAATGAAGTCAATCCCGATGT